AATACTCAATCAATTTGTTTATGTTTGAATATCCATTTTAATAAACAATATAATATTCATGATAAATTATGTAATAAGTTTCATTGTGTATATTGGTTACTCAGAGTACCAGTAATAAATTACTATTTGAATAAGTGAGAATTCACAAAAAATAACGATACTCATTATTATTCCAAATGATTATAATTATCGATTAATAACAATCGAATACACTTACCCAGTGAAACTTATTTTCAATATGAACATTCACAATAATAAAAAGGATTCAATCACTTATTGGGTTAAGGTTAATTATTTCCAATCATCACAAAAATATCTATCCATATAATCATAAACCTGCATTTAAGTCTTTATGTAACATCAGTTATATTAACAAATGATTCTTATCAAAATCTTTGATGATGATGATCCAAAACGATCTGAAACCATCAAATATACTACAAATAACAATAGAATGCACAAATTATATCAGAGTTCAATTTATTTATTTATTTATTTATCTATTTATTATTATTATTATTATTATTATTATTAATTTTAACACATAGATATTGGTACAAGGAGGCACCAAATACATATGCGCCACACAGATCTCATTTGATGTGTGTGAGGGCTGTGATAATGTCTGAGTGCCCAAACCGAATCAGGTGGTTTCCTTAGGGGTCCACAACCCGAGCCTCTGACCTGAAGGTCTGATCCACAAGGCAGTGGACCATCGTAAGGAGATTCAATCTCATGGTAGCCGGTGACCGAAAATTGGTTCATACGCCACTTGTTCCATCAGGCTGCTGGAGCCCATGTACACCATTGGTTTGGGATCCGGTTAAAGCACAGGACATTCGCTTTTCGTCCTCTCAATTTCGTAAACAACACCCGCGGTGCGGGAAGGCAGTGAGTAGGACTTCCCTGGCAGAGGCTGTATACGCGTAGCCATGTGAGAGCATTTCGAGAGGGAGAGCGAACTCTCCCCACTCTCAGCCGTACTAGGGCGTTTGGGGGCATCATGTTTGTGAGTCGTTAAAGGCCGGCGACACTCGGTATTCCCAGCCGGTCAACCATACAAGTGCTGACCGTGCCCGACGCTGATTAACTGCGGTGATCGGACGAGAACCGGTGCTTTCAACGTGGTATGGTCGCCGGCTCACAGTTCGAATCCACTTACGACCATTTAGAATGTTACATTTTATATATAAAAATTGTTGCTCATGCAGAGTGGAATAATTTTCTCATTTCATTAGATCAATGAATTGTAAGTTAATGTTAAGGTATATATAAGCGAGCATACAATAGTTTATTTTGATAATACAGTTCATCGTTTCACGTTTACATCTAATTACGTCTCTCTACTCATTGACATACCAGCTCACTAATCGTCAACTATTCAAGCCTATAAGTGAAATACGGAATCAGATTTGTTTGGCAGATTCCCTGATTGAGTTTGTTGAAATTGTCAGTATCTCAAAGAAAGACTGTATTGAACCTTTGTAATGCTGTTTGTCCAATTGTCCATTGCTTCTTTAGCTTCATTTTCATCTTGGAAACCACAACAGCTTATGACCATTTTGTTGAATACACAAAGATTTGCAAATCGCTCACTATTCCCATTACTTTCTCTCAGTCATTCCAGTCCACGTCATCCCATAATATCTTTTATACCAGACGTTTTCCATTCCGAATATGGCGTTTAGGTCCTATCTTGAACACTTCTCTATGATGGACTTCAGCCTCTCGTAGAACCGATCTTTATCGTCATCGTTGCTATCATCGGTGAGTGGATAACATTGGATAATATTCATTGTGATTTCCTCCTTCTTTGTTTTGAAGGATGCTTTGATGATTTTAAATACATGAGATTCTCATCCTACAAGTGCTTTAGATGATTCTCTGGGTAACATCGGAGAAACACCTCGAGTTTGTAGAGCATTTTCTTGTTTGTGACTACAGTACAGTAGCATCTCTCCTTTTCTGTCCAGCTTGGTTTTAATGGGCTTCACTAATTCCGAGCACCATCAAGTTGTATTTCCTCATTTCCTTCCAGTCTCCCACATTGTTCTTGTTATAACGCTCGATTTTACTTCGTCTACACGTATGGGATGCTTATTTACCTTAGGCGAATATCCACACTAGATTACCTTCCAGAGTCTATTCTACAGGACTTCAACATAACTCAGATAAAGAACACGTGATTAGTCTGAAAAGAACGTAAATATATTTCCAAAACAAAACACAATCTAAAAAACAACGAACAATCAATAATCAGTCCATAATAATAATGAGGATAGGGGAATAAATAACCCATCTAACGCCTGTCAGACTATCTACATGTCTGATTATGCAAACAATCAATCATTATCATTCTCGCCCACACATCAGATATGATATTCTAACTACCTATATTGTTTATCGCTCTAGTTGTTAGAAGGGCATTGGTCTTGAGACTTCCGAAGAATATCGGCTTTCGCTATGAGGCATCATAATTCTTCTCAACGAAGATCCTTAAACATGGACGACAGAGTTAAAATAGTTTAATGTGTTTATTCTGGTTAGCGAAATTTTTAGCAAAGTTAAATCACATTGCTGCTATTTTAAAGGGCAAAAATGTTGTGAATTATCAAATTGTCTGACTAAACAGTAGATTGGAGGTGACTTCTTACAATTCCAAATAACTGACATAATCCAACTGTTAGTTCTACTCACCCACCTCAAAATCATTTCTTTCTCGTTCAATTTCTTATTGAACATTAAATATATTACTTACTACAATTGAGTAAATTATGTTTCTTTCGTGAAATGTGCGATGATCGCGTATATTCGCTCACAGCTTACTGTGTGACACTCAACTGATTTTGTTGTTTCCATTTCATCTCATTTAAATCCATAATAATTTATTTTCATTTCATGCATGTTTATTAAAATTTACTTAATTTAATTAATCCTGATATTCGGTAGTTCAGTTGAAATCAGATATACTGAACAAGACATTCAAATAAAGTGTTAAAAGGTACATTTATGTTGATTGGTAAAACAGAGTAAAATAAATAGTATAAGCCTTGTTACAACAGAATTGTTTAAGACATAAATTAAACAAGTGGACGGATTCTTACATAATATCGGCCAACAATTTGGGTATTAACATTAGTAATAAAATAACTGCCATGTCACTTAAGGATAACAACATATGTGTAATATTGATGCTTAATATGGTTGACACCATTGTGCAACACAATAACCAAGCCTAATAAATCAAGAAAAGCAAATTAAGTTCACAAATATGACAGTATACTTGCACTGATAAAATTCATAGAAATTCAATAATGATGGAATAAATCATATACATTAGTTGACCGATGGAGTTATTTTGAACAAATAATAGTTACGTATTTTCGAACAATAATCATATCAACTTTCTTCGCAGTTGACCAAATGAAATGTACCTCAAACTCAACATAGTTTTGAAGATGCAACAGGTATTCGTAATTTGACAACGCTTCAACAATTAACACATTCTAATATGAATCCTACCCACCAAGTGAAATCAAAAGACAGAAGCGAGCAGATTCGAAGATATATTTGATAGGCTATCAATATATCGAGGATCGTCTGATCTAATCTGGCTAGCGATTGCAGGGGGTGTTGAGCACGGCGTTCGCACTCGTGATCTGATGTGGATGCACGATCGGGCGCCTTCAACTAGGTGAGTCCGTTAAAACTAATGTGGTCAGTATCCAATGTCGGAAATTTACAGAGTTGTTTACTTTGGGGATTTATTTATCGCTAAGGTATTTAGTGATACATCAATTATTTTTAGAGCAACATCACTTCACACAACTATAGTTTGAGAAAATGAAGTTGAGTACAAATGAAGCTTGACTAATCAATGACAATCTGAACACATAAGAGGAAACGGTAATTTGTTACGGACAAATAACTCGAATTACATCCATGTCTACAAGACCAATTGGCTCTGACAGTAGTTTCGATGATTTCAAGTTCATTTTACAAAAAATCAAACTAGTGCTTGTTGACTGACTGTGATCAATAAAATTTACAGTTGCTATATAAAATCATATATATATATATATATATATATATATATATATATATATATATATATATATATATATATATATATATATATATATATATATATAATGGAACACATAAATAGCATGGTAAGGTAGATGAATTTGTATTATGCACCTGGATATTTCGATTGTTTCGTAAGACGTGTAACTTTGTTATCAGACCTCAATAAAAAATATTGTGAATTAACAAAGAGATATCTACCAGGATCTACATCTATCACACCACGACCAACAATCATATGTGCAACTACATACATACTATTATCAATCCTTGTTTATGTGTTTACGAATAAGTCGATTTTCTACTCAAACATACCATAAACTTCAATCTACAATTTCTCTATTTCATATTCAACAAATCAGATAAATCACGATAAAGTAGAATTTTGTCCAAATGGATGACTTTGTTAACTTTCTTCTCAATACAACTAACGTTCAGATTGATGGAATGAACGAACACCATGTAACAGTCAAGACATTTGCAATTCAGAGTATATTCGATTTATTTCAAACAACTTAATCACATAATCAACGGCATACTACTATATTACATCCACACTCCCAATCACCATCTACACAAAATTATTAGTACAGTACAAACTACAAATCGGATGATTTACAGAAACTCCATTTCCCACTTGATGACAACACAAACTCACAATGATTAGTTCATTTAAAACTCAATAATTTCAAATCCGATTCTGCTTAATCACGTACAATGAATAGAAATGAAGACAAGTGAACAAACACAGAAATTCTCATATTCATCATTCTTGTTCTACTCCATCATCAAAAGTACACAATTACAAGAGGAAACATCATTTAGGATAAGTTAATGTTGAGAAACAGTAAAATAAATCCAGAATATGAGAAAGTCAGTAAGAACAAATGAACCATTGATGCAAATATGAAATCTTCAGCTCTGTAGTATATTCTTCCTCCGCAAAATATTTGAGCTTCAATTAAACTAGCCTAAAATCACAATAACAACGTACAAATTGAAATTCACAACATTCAATGCTGATTAGTTGTTTATCTAATATCAAGTGATTCTGAATTATAATTCACTAACTGACTTATTTGCAACTGAAATAATATCATTACATAATTTGATGAGTGTTAAAGTGATGATGTAATCACTATCTGAATATCTCTTGCTGCACTTCACTAATATTTGTCAATTCACCTCATTTACAACAGATATGTTGAAGTAGTCCAATATTAATTTGTATGTTACCTAACCATCAACGGAATCAGCAGGTTTCGAAATTCCTGAGTATATCTAGTGAATAAACAACAGTTAATGATTACTTCCACTATCTGATCATCTACATCTACAAATGTTTGTTGAAATTTTCTTATAGAAATAATTATGGCACATTGTTCAGTGAAACAGATTCATAGTGTATATTGACACATAACACATTGTTGTGTGGATAGCTCACTGAAGTGATATGGTTTAATCTTAACTTATTCGATGCATGGATTTGTATTGAAGGAGGAAGGTGAATAGACAGTAATCTCATTTCATTCAAACTACCATTCACTCACCGGAATTACGATGGCTAAAACAAGGGGACCAATTGCCCACGTCACCTGAAATGCAAAGTTAAATTATTTACTAGTGTGAAAATCATCTATTCATCTGTCCGTTTCCTTTAATCCACCACTCAATCACATGTGACATCAAGTTAATTTTGTGGCACTTAATCCAACCAATCTCGTACGCGTTGTATTACTGTGATTGATAGGAAAATCTGAATGAAAATGAGACTGAACGCAGTATTTTATGGTAACTAATATGAACGCGAACGTCAACGAAATTGTTTTCAAACTTGATCAACAGTTAATCAAACTTAATCTAGAAAAATGATAAATGCACAGGATGAACGAGAACTCGATAAGACAGTTTTCAAGTAAATCAACACTCTGGTGAACTGGATGCGTCTGAATAGCAACATTGTTTGTTTAAACGTTAGTTTCATGAGATTAAACAATGAATCCGTCTTTTATGACCCTTTATTACAACACTGATGGCATATAGATATGAACTATCAGAGTTGAATATGGTGGTATCTTTGAAGACTGCTAGAATTTAGTCCATAATCATGAATAATTATCAACGGTGAATTACTATCTGAACTCTTTTACTCTCAGTAATTCACTCACTAATACAAATTAACCGGAATTCAAATAGATATGCAGTTTCAAGGTGAACCACTATTGTTTTAACCCTGGTGCATGAAACTTATTTGTTCATTGACACTATCCAGTGAATTAAATGTTGCGTAGTTGATTTACAACCGCTCTCACACAATGAATTTAGTAATCAAATTATCAATATTATTATGTTACTCTATTGCAATGAAGCGTGTTTTCCATGTATAAATTTACCTGTGAATAAGTAATATTGAAATAAATGCTCTTATTTACTGTCTTCAATTTAACAATCTCATTTTCACATTTATTCTGATTAAACACTACAATTCAAATAACTGACAGACAACAACTGTAACATACGCAAATGATTAACGATCAACTTCAGTGATTGATCAAACTAAATAAAATGGGATCTCAACAATGGTGAAACAGTAATGGACTTTATCGTAGATACGCTGATGATTACATAGTGGATCCTCTATAAGAGTGAACGTATTTACTTCCTGGGTGCATTCACAGCTTATTGAATAAATAACTCGCTGAAAAAAAGGCTTACCAGAAAAATAATACCACTTGATATAAAACATTGGTTTAGAATGTGTAAGAAAATCACAATCATCATACAATATACTAAAATATAAATTAATTAAAACTCACAACAGTAATACCAACGATCCATGTGACCACCAGACCAGAAATGATAAGAATGACAATAATGACATAAATCAAAAACGACCGAAAATAACTGATCAAATCACGTTTAATGTTTATTCCAATCATAAAAAATAACACTGATAGAATGATGGCCAAAATCCAGCTGATAAATATGAACATTCTCTGTGCGTGAATTGAAAGACAGGTTATTACTCCAGCAAAGCTGAATGTCTTGGAATAAAAGGAGAAACAGAGGATTGTTCAAAGGGGATATATTTTCCATAGAACTATATATGCGAATGTACATGTTAAGTAAATGATTGTGTCAAAAAGAAAATTTTCTTCTCTGAATTCTCTCTTCCCTATTCAATGACACAAGGGGTCATTTTAATTAACTTTTAAATCGACGAAACCACCTATTAAATTTTGTCCTCATTTTTAACAAAACATTTGTGCCAATTCACATTAAAAGGGGAGAAATACCTTCATGTAATAACTAGTTAGATGGTATAACATGCTGACATTGATTAGGCAATGAGTGACCGCATATAAATCACATATTAACGAAATAACTCGATAAAGCACATGAAATCTGTACTGAATAAAATTCAGAGTACATGCACATAATCAGTGGACATTTTTCTTGGCACATTCTTCCAATCTCTTTCTACATCATTCAAAGCATCTAGAGAAATCATCAGAATTATTGATCGAAACATTTCTGATGTAACCATAATTCCTGATCAGTGAGGACTCTATCAAGTAGGTCGGATGTTGGAGTGACACGTTTATAGTTGATAAAGCATCCATAAATTTTTGCTCGTGTGAACAAGTTACTGTCAGTCTCTAATCACACATTTCACCACAAAAAACAATGTTCTCGACTCGCGTATACAGAGAATTTTCACGTATCCACCTCGTCAGTCATCGTCTCGAGATTAGATCAGTGAACAGATAACACATAAATCACATACGATGTTTGATGAATTGGTCATCAAAGATAATAAATGTTTGTCAATATCTAGCAACATCAATAACTCATTTTGCACATTCACAGAATAGTCTCATTTACATAACAACTAACATGATGATGTGACATCCCATTGAGATTCATTAATATAAAATCAAGTTCATATTGCTTTTGGCAAACGTTGATACATATTCATCCATCTCTATCAAATACAACTTACGAGTAGTACATAAAGGAAATCCGTGAGGTATTTCAAATGTGGAAATCTCTGAATAAAGAAAATTGCAATGGTTGCACCAATCGAAATGGAACTGTAATGTAAATTATAAAGTGTCAAAATCAATTCAATGAGATAACCATATGCAATTCGGAAAATGTAGTTGGGAAAATGATGCAATAAATGATGTAAGGCGAATCGTATAAATCCTAATGAAAGGTCACATTCTTGGAGTGTTGCCTCCTAATATAACCGTTTACTTCGATTTGAGCAATTGTGCAGTATCATAGCCCACCGACAAATCAAGTAAATTATGTGGCGCAAATGTATTCGGTATCCTTTTATCCCAATATTAATGTGTTTAAATAAAATGAAGAAGCTTACCAAATGCACTTTGAGTATTTGATGGTGAATTCCCATTTTTTATATACTTACCTTAAAACATAAGTAACCCAGTTATGATGAAAAAGATACCCAAAGATTTCATCACTAAAACATGAAACATCAGGATTATCAGTAAGTGACATACATTGCGAACGCTAATGCAGTCATCAATATTGATAGAAACACTTGAAGGATATTGGTTAAAAACACCTACATTCTGAAATAAATATTTTCAACTGATTTCTACTTTCAATATTAATCGAGTGCGTACTGGATCAACCATTCCAGATAACGTGGAATCGTCGCAGATTACCACTTGATTATTATATTTGATTCCATCATTGTATGTATGTGATCCTGATAAGAGAGGATGAGATATAGGATTACTATTAAACAATTGATTATATAAAGCAATCTGACTTGACTGTCTCTGTTATGATTAGTGAATATTGTGAACAAAAGTGTTAATGAAACATTAATCATGTTTGACCAAAGCAAAGACAATTTACATGGCAGAGATAAAATGAATCTACTATAGTTCGATGTTTCTCAACAGTTGCTTCCAACATCAGCACCATAATAATAATCATGAAAAATCGGTCTACATACTTTATATTGGAAGAATTCTCCTCAATGGGAATTAATGAAAAGATTGATAAGTATGAAAGAACGATAAGATGTGTATGTACATGAAATCAATTGAACATTTATAGGTTGAATGTATGAACATTCTAGGAGTTTATTCAACAGAATCATTTCGAAATAGGAGAATAATCGACTCATCAAGTCACATTTATGATTGTATTTCTGGTAGCAATAAATAGTATATCAAATTGTGTTATGTAACTCAATATTCACGATTATTTCCGTTTCAAATAGTGATCTCCTATCAAACAACTAAAACCAGTGTCTAGAGTATAATTAATGCACGATCTTCGAGCGATATTAAAGTGTCCTTTCGATCAATTATCGAAATGTGATTATATCATTCAATTAGTTTAACTTGATTATTCACAACAATGTTAATCAAAAATCTATTAATGTAAATACAAACCTTCATTTGGATGTTTGTGCAACATTAGTTGTGTTCACAAGAAGTGCTAGTTGAAGCTGATCAACTCAATCAACGTTATTTTATAATTTCGATGCAAATGAAAACGACCAGTGACCATTAAATACAGTATAAAGAACAAAACGACTTTTGATCTGATCAAAGTTCAAATTAGGTAGTGCATACTAGCCTGATCCACTCAACAATTATATAGTTCAATAAATGAGACAGTGATTATCGATATGAGAGAACATTCAAATGACATTCTACACGATATAAATTGGCTGGATGTTAAATATTGTCCGGATGCCACCAGCAATACTTGCATGTTCTTAACCATAGTCCGATGAATTTACATATGAACTTGGTCAACAATTATCAGTATAACAAGAATACTACACAATATTTATGCCACGACCTGTAGTTTAAGAATTCAAAGTCAATTATCTAGATAGAAAGATGATCCAGTTATCCACTAGATTGTACAACTGAAACTGTGTTTACCAGACGTTGACGCATAACTGTTTGAACCTACCCGTACATCAGGTTAATGATTCTGATTGATCAGTCCCTAATGGCATATTTGTACCCTGAAATGATTTTCAGGATAGTAATATTAGATCACAAGATAATTTTAGTATAGTTGTTTGATGTCTGCCAGTCGAATCGAAGAAACCAGTTCCGTCCTATTTGTGACTCATCAGACAGGTGTACATAGTACCACAACGTCTTACCCACTGAAACGACAACAAAGGATTTATCAACGCATATTCTGTACTGCTTTTATTCATCTGAAATTCGTGAAGATGACACTGAATTGATGAGTTAATTATTTATGAACAAAATGTTCAAGAGTTTGTTTTGTTTGTTTGTTTGTTTGTTTGTTTCATAACAAAACGTAATCAACAACTGACATGCTAACAGTAATACTGCACACTATTTATGCCACTTGACCTGTAGTTTAAGAATTCAAAGTCAATTTTCTTGATAGGAAGATGATCGGCTTCATTATTGATCATATCAAAATTATTGAGTATTTATGGTTGTGAAGCATTTCAAGCTAACACATGTGGTGAGACTATAATTTGTAGATGAACCAATAAGAGTTAGGATAACACGTGTTGTATTTTGACGCGAAGCTCATTCATCCATTTGGGAAAATGGAGTTCTTGTATTTTACTGATGTCTGTTCGTGATGAAAATCCTCAATCTAATTCTTAATTTGAACCTGTTGAGTTGGCTTTCGGAGAACTTCAACGGAGTCTCCAGAGGCCCAAAAGGAGCCGAAGAGTCCTAGCCAATCAGAGCACGATGGAGCATTCTAGAATCCCAACGTGACGTGCTACTACTGGTCAGTAGCTGTTGGGGACGATAGATCCCCAAACTCATATTTTTAAAATTTTATCGCATCGATCAACTTATTGATTAAATGTTTAAATATTTGTATTGGGGTCATTTGATGAACTGATCGATTAAATGTTTGTATAGCAGTCAGTTGATAAACCTATCAATTGGATGTGCAAGTAGGTCAATTGGTGAACTATCGATTAATGTGCAAATAGGTCAATTTATGAACTCATTGATTAGTGTTTACAATTTTCCTATGACAATATCGATTGTAAATATTGTGTAAATACGCGTGAGTTGTGTGTTTGACTTGACTTGTTATCTGCTGTCTGTCAGCAGAATACACTTCTACACCTTACCCAGACTTCTTGATCGAGTTAGCAGAGTTGTGGGACAACGAACCAGAATAGCTATCGAGTCACTGAGTCACTGATCCTTCGTTCGTTAAGTCAGACGCATCAGTAATAGCATTCAAGCGAATAACGAATCATAACAAATTGGCGACGGTGGTTTTTGAATTTTGGACCCTGCGAAACTTGAACTGTTACTTGGGCAGCAGCAAAAATTGATGCAAATGTTGATGGAGACCATGGTTACGCCTCCTTTACAGCCAAGCACGTCTAGTTCGACCACAGCACCATCGGTTGATGGCATCGTAAATAGCATAGCTGAATTTCATTACGATCCTGATGCTAATGTTACTTTCGAGATGTGGTTCAGGCGTTATGAAGATCTATTTAAATTTGATTTCGCCAATAAATATGATGCTTGGAAAGTGCGGCTGCTACTTCGTAAACTGGTTGCAAATGAGCTGGACAAGTATTGCAATCTGATCCTGCCGTTAAACCCATGAGATCGATCATTTGAAGACACAGTTCAAACATCAAGCCAACATTTTGGCGATAATTCGTCACTGTTTAATACTCGTTATCGTTGCTAACTATGAAGGAAGATGATGATTTTCTTACGCATGTAGGTGTCGTCAACCGTGAATGCGAACGCTTCCGGTTAAAGTCCTTGACTGAAGATCAGTTTAAAGCCCTGATACTTATTTGCAGCCTGCAGCACCAAAAGTTTAGTGACTTACGAACAAGACTACTGAGTCGTTTGGACCAAGAGCCGAAACTCACCCTGAGTGGTATAGCTAATGAACATCAGCGTCTCTTTAATCTGCAACGAGACACTTCTATGGTCCAGAGTGGTGGGTCTAACTTATCTGAAGTACGAGCGGTGCAACAAACACCTTACAAAAACAAACACGTCCCCGCTTCATCCAGTCCATCTCACTGCAGCCCGAGACGACAGACTACAGCTACTCCTCCTGCTCCTTGCTGGCAATGTGGTGCATGGCACTACGTTCGAAACTGCCCATTTAAGCAACATCGATGCGAGAAGTGTAAGGTTATTGGTCATAAGGATGGGTTTTGTCTGAGGAAGAAAACTGCAAGTCAATCCAGAAATACCAAAAAGACCCTTCCTAAATCCCGCACCAATTCATTGAGCTTAGTATCTTCGTGTCAAAGCTCATCACCAGGTTATAGAAAGTTTATTACTGTTAACATTAATGGGCATTCATCTAGATTGCAAATAGACACAGCATCAGATGTCACTATCCTCTCTCGTAAAACTTGGACCAAAATGGGCAGCCCAAACTTGCAGCGTACAACGCAAAAGCCTCGTACTGCGTGTGGTAATTACCTTCACCTGCTTGGACAAATGGAATGTACAGTTACTTTCCGTGATCTGGCATTTGTTGGGGTATGCTACATAACACCAGCTGATCTAAATTTGCTCGGGTTAGATTGGTTCGATCACTTAAATTTAGCTGATGTCCCGTTGAATACCATATGCAACCTGGTATCACAACCCCAACTACGACAACAACCACATGAATTGGAAGCATATACGAGGAACCTAATGATGGAGTTGTCAACCAGCGAACGCCATACGGCCGGCGAAGATGCAGTTATTACCTCCCTATTGACAGAGGACCACACACCGTGTCAGCAAGCAGCCAAGTGTAACGCGAAATTACTGCCGGTCCCATGGCCACAGCCTGAGTATCCCTGGTCCAGGATACATGTCGATTTCGTAGGCCCAATTAATGGAATCACCTATCTAGTCGTTGTTGACTCCTTTTCGAAATGTCCAGAAATCGTTCCCGTCACGCCACCAACGACAACCTAAACGACGCACGTTTTGACAGAGATGTTCTCTCGCAACGGATTACCGGATATAATCGTTTCCGATAATGGTTCGCAATTCACCTCAAGCCGATTTCAAGAATTTTGCAAACGCCTATCGATCAAGCATTTCCGCTCTCCACCTTACCACCCACAGTTAAATGGACAAGCAGAAAGATTTGTGGATACATTCAAGAGAGCTCTAATGAAGTCGAAAGGGGAGGGGACGCCAGTAGAAACACTACAGAATTTCTTGTTTGTTTACCGAACAACACCTAGTGATATGCTACCACAGCAGAAGTCCCCGGCAGAGATCCTGATGGGAAGGAATTTGAGGACGATCCACAGTCTCATGTGCCCATGAACCACACCACCGCCATCTCAGACCAAATCTCAGAAGCTTACAGCGTACGAAGTTGGATGCCCCGTGTTCGCTCGAGACTACAGAGCAAATCATGGTCCTTGGATCGAAGCACGTGTGGTTGGAAGACTAAGCCAGGTTATGTACATAGTAAAGGTGGGAAGAGACACGTGGACTAGACACCGAAATCAACTACGTAAGCGGATAGCCACAGACCACCCATCAACAGGAGTAAATCTTCCCCTCGACATCTTGCTTGATAGTTTCAACTTACCTGCAACCCCCACCACAAGAAGCTCAACAGCAAGCTGATCCCCGTCCCAGAAGGTGGCCTATCCGAGAACGGCGAGCTACAGTCAAGATGCAGGTTGACCCTAGGAAAGCCCGCTATTAAAAGGGGAGGAGTGTTGGGGACGATAGATCCCCAAACTCATATTTTTAAAATTTTATCGCATCGATCAACTTATTGATTAAATGTTTAAATATTTGTATTGGGGTCATTTGATGAACTGATCGATTAAATGTTTGTATAGCAGTCAGTTGATGAACCTATCAATTGGATGTGCAAGTAGGTCAATTGGTGAACTATCGATTAATGTGCAAATAGGTCAATTTATGAACTCATTGATTAGTGTTTACAATTTTCCTATGACAATATCGATTGTAAATATTGTGTAAATACGCGTGAGTCGTGTGTTTGACTTGACTTGTTATCTGCTGTCTGTCAGCAGAATACACTTCTACACCTTACCCAGACTTCTTGATCGAGTTAGCAGAGTTGTGGGACAACGAACCAGAATAGCTATCGAGTCATTGAGTCACTGATCCTTCGTTCGTTAAGTCAGACGCATCAGTAATAGCATTCAAGCGAATAACGAATCATAACAGTAGCATAATATGTCGTTGACGGATTGGTCGAAATATGATGTTGATTGAACAAACGCTAACATCTATAAATACCCATGTTTTCTGTACGAGAACGAACCTTGGAGTAAAGTGTTCCTTTCATACTTTGCGTCTTCTTTCTGGTGTTCAGATCGCTGTATAGTTCTAGCGTGTGGGTTATCAGTATAGCTTAGGAACGAATATAGCGTCCAAATCGGCAAGACTTAACAGAACCATCAACTGTAAATCGAAATTCTACTTCCTCACATTGGTTTATAACAATGATTGATCACTGGGTGGTGATCAATTTCATGTATATCAGGTCGTTCATAATGCAGATCGAATCCTATCGAACAAGTTGGCATGTTGACACCAGTATAGGTGAGTCATCGTCACAGTTAGTCGAGGCTAATTGGTAACGTTCCTAAATTT